GTGGGAAAGACTTTGATGGAAATTTTTGGATATTTTTCCAATTTTAAACCAACGTAGGTACTAGTTACTGCTATGCAAGAAGGCTGCCCTGCTATGGGGGTGGACTTCGTTGCTCTCACCTACCCAGAATCATGCAGTGTTTCCACACATGACGTCCATCGAATAAGGGAGCGGACTCTGGTTGTAAGCAGACTCCGCGCCCTTATTTCGAGGGACGTCATGAGCTGCAGTCGTTCCAAAAGACGTAGGGCAGGACTTCAGAAAAAATGCATGTAACCTTCTTTCCAATCTCCAGAAGTTTTGATCGCACCGGCGCAAGGGCCTGGGTGTAGCGGAGAGGAGGCTACGCAGGACCAGTTGCAACGAGCCGCGTTATCAGATGCTGTAGGGAATCTTCACCACCAAATCCCAATACCGTGTCTGCAGTAACACTGTAAAGATTTGATGTACTTCTACTTGCTTGCAGACTGCCTACTTAGGTCAAGTAAGTTCGTATACACGCGCATACCCATGTATGGTTTTGTAGCGCATGTGCACCCACATATGCCTCCCATGCATGCATGTGTTAAGCTGTGCAAAGGTGCATATTTGCATTACTGAAATCGGAAAATATCCGAGTTTCGAAGTGCGGCCGATTGTTTCATCAAGGGTCTGATGCTTGTCTTTATCTTAGTCCCTAATGCCTCATATAATATTGGCGCCGGATAACTGCCAATGTGTAGTAATGCAGAAGCGCATCAGACTTAATAATATATAATGTATCACGTACAACGTAAGGTACATGAATACTCGAGTATTTAAAATCAAGAATATGTACAACAGGGGTATTGGCATCTCTTTCGCACGCAAGCATGTCCGCGTGTGGGTTGCTTCCCGGCAAATACTCGAACTGTACTTCAGTATTCTAGCATTTCAAGAGTCAACTTTCTGCATAGGTTTACTGGGTGTTTTCCCTCCTTTTCCCCTCCTGTGCCGTGGAGACACGAGGGGCGGTCCTGGTGCACGGAGGAAGCCCTCGATGGTTGTACGGGCCATAAATGGTGAAACTTTTCCACTTACAGGAGAAAGTACCCAAAAAGAGTTTGCTTATTTATATATATCATGCTTGTGCATATTTCCAAGGGGAAGTTTAGCAGCCTGGTGCTTGGCGAGGGCGTTCGTTGCACGCCCTGCCACGATTCGTTCTCGCTCGACATTTGGCGGCTGCGCTTACAGAGGGGAAACGCTGGGACAGGAGGTTCAGTAGAGATAATGAAGATATGATATATCTGTCTTTCATTAAGGTTTAAATACGGTGTTTACACACTACACCCAGCCTAGCCGTGGGAACTTTTGGGCAGAGCAAGGGGCAATTGCAGCTGGTCACAGCTCACTGGTGTGCAGCGGTGTGCTTTGTTTCTGTGTCAGCTAGTGAATTCTTTCAGTTATTAAGATTTCGTGTTGTGAAACGGTATGATCTCTTCCCTTTTAATTCCTGAGTGGAAATTCAAGAGACCGAAAACCGCACTGCTCCACTGACTCGAGTGTGGCACCTGCCGACTCTACTGCCCTTGCTAATCGAGAGCCTCCCCTTTGATTCACTTCCCCGTGTGTTCCCCATTTTCTCCGTCTCGCTTTAAAAAGGTCTCGGCTGACTTCACGTAATTAATTCTCAATTCACCTTTGCCAACATGGAGCCCAGAAAAAGCCAAGAGGTCATAATCTCTGGCAGCAGCGTCCTGGGCCGATTATCAGAAACATTTCTGCAGCAAGGGGGAGATCTTGAACGCGCATTAAATTCAATAAAGAGCGAAAACAAAGACGTGTACATTCCCAGCTATGACTCCTTCCAACGCCAGGGATGGGACGGCTTGTTCTTGCTCCCAGAGTCCCGCAAGGGCAACCTAAACGGCTGTCACAAGTGCAAGAACAGCAATGGCACTTCACAAACTGCTGATGCAGGATCAAAAAAGGCTCAGGTTCCCCTGGAATCTCTAGAAAAGATATTGTCTCCTCCACCTGCCTTCTTTCAAAGCCATCTGGCCGGCGAGCTCCCCTCCGTCCTACACGCAATCGGTTGTACGCCGCTGGTTCGGCTTTCTCGCGTGGCTCTGGCAATGGGTGTGTCGTGTCAGTTGCTGGGCAAGTGTGAGTTCTTGAGCGCGGGGGGAAGCACGAAGGACAGGATCGCGCGGGGCATGATCTATGCAGCTGAAGCTGGAGGTCGTCTGGCTCCTGGGGCGGCGCTCATAGAGCCGACGAGCGGCAACACGGGCATCGGTTTGGCTATGGTTTCTGCAGTGAAGGGATATCGATCTGTGGCGGTGATGCCGATGAAGATGTCTGCAGAGAAACACCGCATCATGAAGGCCCTGGGCTCTACAATTCTACGCACGCCCACGGCAGCGGCTTGGGATGACCAAACTTCCCACATTGCGCTTTCCCTTCGCCTGCAAGCAGCACTACAGGCACAGCAGCAGCTTGACGCTGATAGCAGCAGCAGATGCCCAATACCTGGAAAGGCTCCCACTGCAGGGAATGCCTGTTCGGCGCCTCAGCAGGCATGCAAAAGCCACCCGCAGGTTGCGTGCATCCTTGACCAGTACAGAAACCCCGCTAACCCATTGTCTCACTTTTTTGGAACAGGGGCGGAACTGCTGGCGCAGAGCGGCGGCGCGCTGGACATGGTTGTAATTTGTGCAGGGACTGGGGGCAGTCTCACGGGCGTTGGGCGCCGAGTGAAAGCTGCAGCTCCCCACTGCATCATCGTTGGCGTTGACCCCGAGGGGTCTGTGCTCGCGAATCCGTGCGAGGCTGCGGGAACGCCTTACATCGTTGAAGGCATTGGGTACGACTTTGTGCCCACAGTCTTAGACCGACAGACAGCAGACTGCTGGGTTAAAACTACCGATTCAGAAAGCCTTCTCTGCTCGCGTTTGCTTCTCAAAACAGAAGGGCTGCTTGTTGGAGGCTCGGCAGGCGCAGCACTTGCTGGGGCCATCAAGGCCATCGAACACTTTGGTTGGACAGACGATCCAAACAAACGCGTCGCACTCATTTTGCCAGACAGCAGCCGCAACTACACTTCTAAATTCATTTCCGACGAATGGATGGTGGCCAAAGGTAAATTATAAAGCCAGTTTGGCGCTGCAGCAACTCGCTGACTTGTGTTCAAATACTACCACCTCCAGTTTGTGCCAGTTAATGTGACGCACGAATTACGGCACAGCTTATCCAATGTATAAGGTTCGTTTATAGAGACTGTTTTCTGTCTCCAGAACAAAAGCATATATGTTTAAGTATAATCTGCGTACATTCATGGCAGTGTACAAACATACATTTATGCATTCGTACGTACGAAGGTACGCACAAGCACACTCACAGACACGCGAATACACGCATGTATATATATATATATATATATATATATATACGTGTGGATGTGCGGATATGTTAATGCTATTTTTGTTCAGCTGCGGCTGAGTAGTTTGTCTTTTTGTGTCTTTCTTTTTGCAGGCTTCCTCGACGCGAGTGTGCTGGATAGACAGTACAATGACTTGGGCCTTGTTGGCCTTCGATCGTTGCATTTGCCTCCTCTGACTTTTATATCATCGGCTGCGTATTTGAAAGAGGCCACCGCTGCACTGCTGCAGTCTGCGCAACCTTTGCTGGTTGTGGTGAAGCCCAACGCCGTAGCAGAAGCACAGAAAAGAGGGAGAGTGGCTGCTGCAGCTCTCGTGGGCACGGTTACAGACCAATCGCTCTTGAAGGCGTTGGGAGACCTCCCCAGCAGCGCAGAAGTGAACGACGTTGTTGACATGGAAACCCCCGTTTTTAGCAGTACAGGCACCTCGCTGGCGCGCGTTGCACAGACTCTCGAAGTGCATCGCTTTGTCCTCGTTCAATCTGAAGCAGGACTTGTTTATGCCGCCGTCGAGGCGAAAGGACTGCTCCATACTTTTTTTGGAAGCCAACAAAATGGAAGAAGCCCAGAGTAATAGGAAGTGGCAGCAGCATATCTTCTATGCGGCGGAAATTCGCCAAAAGAAAAACGGCCAAAGGTGCAGTGCAATAAACAGTTTAAAGCCAAGCCCACAACGGGCGCGAAGACATATATATATACATGTATATATACATATATATATATATATGTATCTATATATATATGCTAAATATGCATAGATGCATGTACGCATTGCAGTGAAAGCTTCCGTTTGTCTCCCTTTGTTCTTTGGGCCGCCCAGTGGTGCGGGAAATATTCCTGCGATTGTCTCGACAACAACCGCTGCATTTGAACACCCTCCTCTATACATCTGCTTACAGATATATATTTGTATTATTTGTGCACATACATTATATATATACGCGCGTGTGTGTGTGTGTGGATGACATAAATGACTATCCCTTAGCATATGTACGCATGCATCTGCTTTTCTTCACACCACCTAGAAAAACATCTCTTCTCGTCTCCACACATACCAACACAAGCCCACACCCAAGTGTGCTGGCAAATGAAGCGTTCTGCCTTTGCTCGACGTAGGGTTTGTTTGAATTTTTGTCATTTAGCTTTCCACATGGCCTGGAGGTTTATGCCGGCATTTTCAGTTTTCCTTGCCGATATCCGACCCTCCCTCCCGCTTCTACCCATTTAAAACTCCTTTTGTTGCATTTCCTCAGCTGCCTGCTGCTTCTGTTCAAGCGCTGAAGTACGTGCCAACATGTTGGGTGCAGCTGAACATACTACAGTAAGTGCAGCGAACCCCTTTTCGGAAAATGCGAAGCTCATTAAGCATTTCAATAATACTTCAAGCGTCTATCCGTTAGCTGAAAAGATAAAACTCTGGGAGAAAGAGTTCCAGCAACAGCAAAAAGGCAGAAACTCCAGCGTATGAAACAACAGCAGCTGCCGCAGCAGCTGCTGCAGAAATCGTATCACAAGAAATAGTGCTGCTGCTACAACAGGATCACTGCCACTGTAGCAGCAACAGCAGGAGTAACTACTGCCTAGGCTGCGTGCAGCAGACAGCCAAATAAAGCGCCGTCGTAGCAGTGGTGCTGAGGCTTCGAAATTCCCTCGATGATAAACGTATCTTCGAAGACAATCATAATGAGCACATATATATGGTAAAATGACGTATCCCCGTCGGCACAACATCTAGTAGCCTTCACATAATTTGTGTGTGCGTGTCAAAAACGCGTACAGACCTATGCTGCAACAGTTGCACTGTTCCTCGTGCTACAATTTTTGCAGCAGCAACTTTTGGTTCACATGTTGCAGTTGGTGATGCTTCTGTGTTGCTGCCGGTTGGAGTATATGTACTGGAGAGTACTTGCGTATATGGTGCTTCTACAACAGCAGAGGCATCACCAAGTGCAACAGCTGCAAATAGAAGTAAAAGCCATCTCCACGGGTTGACGAGCCCCTTGTGTTCACAGATGTTCACGCCTGCATGCTGCACGATGTATGTTTGGGCTATTGTGGAGATTGGTAGCAGCATTACTTGATCCAGGTAACCTCCCAAAGCTGCACAGCAACAACCAGAGCAGCTTACGCTTCCATTCTGGCTACGTACACACAAGTGCCTTGCTTTGAAACGCCTAAGCCCAATGAGGGAAATCTGTATTTGATCATATTTTTGCGTTTTCACCTTGATACAGGCACTAGAAGTATGCGAACGAAGCAAAGAAAGAACAAGAGACGCCGAAATTCGTGTGAGCAGGAATCAGATTCCTCTGGAGCTCCTTTGCAGCTTTCTGCACTGAGCTGAATAATTTTATTTCATATTTTGATGCCAATATTCCCCACACATGAAGCCGTCTGCGATTTATTTTTCTTTCCGAGATGCCATCTTACCGGCTCGGTGCGATTCCGGGCAACAGCGGAGCGGTGTTTAGGGGATGTGAAAGTGCACATTTTAAAATGTACTTTGCTTTTTCCTGGTTAAATAACTCAAAAGCATAAGCTTGTATTCTTAATACCTCGGTACTTTCAAAAGATTCCTCATCACTTGCCAGAGCCGACGGCCAACACTTGCCAGTGTGCCAGTATTGACCAGTGCTACGAGCCTCGAGACCTTGCACAATTGTTCGCATACTACCAGTATATCGAGACTATGTTCTCATCTAGAATATGTCTTTTTAAACATTAAATAACATTTTAACCGAATTTGTGTCAAAAAGACTAAAAACAGGCGCAGACAGCGGCGCTGTGCCATATCGCCAATACCAGTCCATCGAGGCTGCAGCTGACGATGGTTCGATCATGTGTAGGGAACGAAGGGTTTGGCCTTAAGATATGTGGGTGCATTATCCAAAGAAAGATGCATTATTGAAGGCCTTACTGGTGCTGCTTTTTCCCCCTTAAGCCGCTAGAGTTATTGCGGGAGCCGAGCCCCTAAGAAGCAGCACCTGTGTGGCTCCTGTGCTGCAGCAACAGCAGCAGCTGCGGGAACAGCAGCAGCAGCACTAAGTCCCTCAGCTTTCCTTAAAACTTGGTCGCTTAGGAGTTGTGTCGACTTCTTTCGAAAGGAGTCTAGGCCTCATGCAATTCTGCCGCTGCTGCCGAGTGTGGAGCCTGCACGACTCGCTGTGCGAGGCAGGGCTTGCTCCTGCTGCTGCTCCTGCAGTTTCTGCTGAGGTTAGAAAGCTCCTTTCTGTCTCTTTGGTTTGATGCAAGGGTTCTTTGCGCCAGAATACACACACAGACACGCAGCATCAGCAACAGCACAAACCGTTTGCGGCCGCAGCAGGCAACAGATGCAGAAAACAAATGCAGCTACAGATAACAACAGCAGCAGCAAACAGCAGCAACAGCAGAAATCAAAGGCATAAAGGCTGCTGAATGCAGCCTTCTGCGTTTATTTGTCTCTGCTGAGCTCATTAGACCCAGCAACAAGCGAACGCAGGAGCAGCAGCAGAAACGCGCAAATTGCACGCGAGGGTGTGAATGCCAGCAACAACAGCAACAGCAGCAGCAGGAACTCTCAACAACTGACACTGGCATCCGCGCATCCTCCCCGAGAGAGACTTTAACGCCAGCCTTTGGTGCCTTTGCAGCGGAAGCAACGATGACTGCTCCAGGTTCCAAACGGCCTTCTGCTGCAGCAGGAGCAGCAGCAGGAGAAGCAGCAGGAGGTGCTGTACGTACTGAAGCAGCAGAACCATCGGAATCTGCAGTCCCTTCCTCCGTAGTGGCTGCGCTCATAACTGAGGGGCTGTTACACCCTCAAGAATCTCTTGAGAAGTTGGAGGAAAACTTTTTGCTGCTGGACTTCGATCCAGAAAAATGTAGCACACTTGCTGTTGCTTGCTCTGCCTGTGCTGCTTGCTGTGTCACTGCCACTCGTGTACTTGCTGCTACTTTTGTTGCTGTTTGGTCCCCACTCTGTTCTGCTTTGGCTTCTGCTGCTGCTGCTCCTTGTGCTGCTCCTGCATGCGCTTCTTGTTCTTCTGCCTCTGCTTATGCTGCTGCTGCGTTTTGTTTGGTTGTTGCTTCTGCCTCTTCTGCCACTTTTCGTTTCAATGCTGCTTCTGGTAGTACTGTTGTTGCTGCTGTTTTTTTTTGCGTTGCTGTGCTTCCTAGTGCTACTGCACCAACATCTTTGTCCTAGGCCTTTACTTTTGGCTTGCTTCGTGTAGTTTTCCTGCTGCGGGTTTCAGCAGCTGCGTCGGCCCAAGCTGCTCATCGGCTCCTCAAAGAGTTTGTCAGCTGCAGCAGCAGCAGTAGTAGCACTAACAGCAGCAGCAGCAGCAGCAGCGGCACAACTGCCTCAAGGGGGGGATATTCTGTATGTGGGGAGGTGGCCTGCTCCCGCTTGGGCTTTGCGCTGCGGCAGCAACAACGGCTGCAACAGATGATGCAGGCAGACTCTCAAACACTGCAGCAAATGCTACAGACAAAAAGAGACTGGGAAATTCTTGCTGGTGACTCGCATCCCCTTGTTGGGACCGACGAGCGTAGGGTTTATGACGTTAGGTATAAGTTGGGCGGTGTACGCCTAAAGGCTTAAGCTCACAGTAGGGTTTGGAACCTGATGGATGGCACTTCAAGCCTTTCTGGGGATGCGATGTGAGTGGTGCTTCCTGCGGCTGCTGCGGCATTCAGGCTGCTTTCCTTATAACTTCTTTGCCCTGTGTCGGGCCTTCTTGGACCCTGAATGGAGCAACCAAGCTCCTCTGCCTGCGGGCACACCCTGCAGCACAAATGCCATCAGCAGCAGCAGCAGAAACAGCAGCAACAGCAGCAACAGCAGCAACAGCGATGACGCTCTTTTGCAGCCAGGAGAGAGCCGTTGCTTCCCAGTGAATTTACAGGCCGTGCAGAAACTCCACAACGGCATCGTTGCTGCCGCAAGGGCTGTACGCAGTGATGCATCCAACAGTGCGGGCTGCTGCATACTGCTGCCGCTCGTTGCTGCTGCTTATTGCTGCTGCTTGCTGCTGCTAGCTGCTGCTTGCTGATGTTTCTGTATGCAGTTAGCTGCTGTTGTTGCTGTTGTTGCCGTTGCTGCTGTGCTGCTGCTTCTGGTCTCGGTTAGCTGGTGCACTGCTCGTCAGAAGCACCCACACTGCATACGTTCCTTCGTTTGTAGACTGACCCTGCTGCTGCTACTGCTGCTACAGGCGACTGGGACCCAATAGCACTCCTACTGCAGATGATATATGGCCTTTGCTGCCGACTGCTGCAGCGGGCTGCTGCGCTGGAGCATCCGCAGCAACTGCTATTCGTTCCGGTCCTCCTTGGTAAACACACGGCAAGGTGGCATATGTGGGGCTGGGCTTGTATTGTTGATGCACCAGCCTGTGTTGCTGCTGCTGGCGCAGCCTGCGTTCCTCCTGATGTTGCTTCCGCTGCTGAGGCTGGTGCCACTTTTACTTTCATGGCAGGACATGAGTTAGGGTTGCATTCACTCCCAGGGCGTCTCTGTTGGAGGGGTTTCAGCTTTCAGTTTAGCGTTGCGTGTCTGTTGGGCGGCTGCTCCTGCTTCTGCTGCTGCACCTGCTCAAGCGACTGATGCTCCTGTTGCTGGTGCTGATGCTGCAGAGGGTCCTCTTTTGGATGAGTCACCCGACTTTTCGGAGTTGGCGAAAATTTGCGAAGTCGTCGCTGTTCTACCCTATGCGTCAAAACGCACCATCGCCAGATGGTCTGCTGCTATACCGGCTGCTGCTGTTGCTGTTGCTGTTGTTGATTCTGCTGGTTCGGTTGCTGGTGCTGTTGCTTTTGTTGCAGCCGCTGCTGCTGGAATTCTGGGGGTTATTCGGGTGCTGTTGATGGCGCTACTCGTGCTGCAGTTGCTGCTGCTGTTGATGTTACTGTTGTTGCTTCTGTCGCTGCTGCAGCAATTGCCTTGTTTCTGCTGTTGCTGCTGCTGCTGCCGGTAACGTTTCGGTTCACGTCGTTCGTTTGGTGATTTTCGCCTCATTTGTTATCCACATCTTCAATTATTCACTTATTTACTTACTTGCCTATGCACTTGTACACTTGGCTGGTGGTGTGGGGTGTACTTACGTGCAATTTGTTTTTGCTTGTTTTCTGCCGAAGGTACCTCGATGCCCCCGCGCGACACATGGAGCAGCACATCACGCTTGTGCAGCAGCTCATCACAGGCAAGAGTTCTGTTCTTTTTGTTGCTGAAAATGTTGCTGTTGCCTATTATTGTTGTTGCTGCTGATGCTGCTGCTACCTTCTCTGTTTTTTGGATGGTCCCGTTCTTGCTGTTGCCTGTGTAGCCGTAAGCTGCAGCATCAGCAGCTGGTACTGCACCAGCAACTGGTTCTCGTTCTCTAATCACGTGTTTCATGCAGATATTTGGGCTACTTGGGTTGCGGTTCAGCTTCTATTTGCGCTTCTGCTGCTGTTGACGCATTGCTGCATTTGCTGCAGTTAACATGCTGTCTGCTGGGCCGTTGGAGCTATGGCACTACATTCAGGCTTCGCAGCACCCAGCTGAGACGGCCTTAAGAGCAGCACTGCTGCTGCTCCACCTCCTGTATGCTGCCAATGTACACCGGCAGCAACGGCGCCTGCAGATGAGCAAGAAACTCCAGCAACTAGACAATTTTCAGCCCTCTCGAAGAACGCCATACTTCCCAGCAGGAGCAACAGGAGCAGCAACAGCAGGGCACGAAACAGGGGCTGGTGCGCAGGAAGCACTGCAGCAGGTGCAACAGCAGCAACAGACGCACCAGGAGGAGAAGGAAGAACTAAGTGAAGTTGATTTCAGTTTATTTCACAACGACGCCATCAACTCCAGTCATCAGATGCTACAGCACGAGTTTGCCCTGTGGCTGCGACTGCGGAGAGGCGCAGCAGCACCAGCGGTCAGCAGCTTCTTGCTGCAGCAAGCGCTCCAGCAGCAACAACAACGAGATACAGGCAGTCGTAGCAGGGACCGAAACAGCCTCTCGACTCCACCAGACTCTGAATCAGCGGCAAGCTCTCTGGAGACCCCTCCCGCTGCAACAGCAGCGTCAGGGGCAACAGCAGCGGCAGCAACAGCACCAGCGGGAACAACACCAGCAGTAACACCAACAGCAACGACAGCAGCAAGAAACGGCGTGTTGCCAGCAGCAACAGCAGCTGCAGCAGAAGAAGCCGCTGAAACAACGGCAGCAGCAGGTTCAGCAGCTTTGCATTCGATGTCTGCACAGTCTCTATTCTCAGGCGGGGCTGAGACAGAGGCAGCTCTGGGCATGTTGCCACCAGACCCAGGAGTCCCAGCAGCAGCAGCAGCAGCAACAGCAGCAACGGCAGCGACTGCAGCGACAGCACTGGCAACAGGAGCAACACAAGGAGGTGGCATACCTGACGAGGCAGACGTATTTTTCTCAGGGGAGACGGTTCCAGGTGTCGATACATCTGCAGATGTAGCCAGGATCCGAGTGGCGCAGGCAGCAGCAGCGGCAGCAGAAGCACAAGCAACAGCTAACAACATGGGTTTGCTGCCGTTGCCATTGGGTATATGGGGTTCATCGTCTGTTGCTGCAGCTCTTGCTGCAGGTGTTGCGTCTCCTGCTGCAGTGTTGTCGAGTCCAGCAGCCGCAGCCGCAGCAGCAACAGCAAGCAGCCCCTTTAATCACTTTGCGCTGCCGCAAGCCAACTTGCACGCGAATACGTTCTCTCTAGTCGCCCATCCCTTCGTGCTGGATGCATCAGCAAAGGCTGAGATAATCAGGATGCAGGCAACCCTTGAGCAGCAGCACCAGGTCCATCCCTCCTCAGCAATGCTCCTGCTGCTGCTGTTGCTGATTCATCATCTGCTGCTACTTCGGGCGGCACTTTTGTGACTGCTGCTGCTGCTGCGTCCGCCGCTGCCGGTGTTGCTGCCGTTTCCGCCGTTGCTGCTGTTGGGTCTGCCTGGGCTACTGCGTCAGCATCCGCATCCGCTCCATCAGCTGCTGTTCCATCTGCTGATGTTTCTGCTGCTTGCTCTGCTGTTGCTTGTGCTGCTGCTCAGGCCCGCCAGGCTGAGGTGCAGGCTTTACTGAGTTTGTGTCGGGGGGGCATTGGCTCGCCGCTGCCGTTTCTGTACTTGCGCGTGCGGCGGACGCATCTGGTGGAAGACACGCTGCAGCAAATTGCGAGCAGCAGCAACAGCAGCAGCAGCACTAGGACAGACCTCCGCAAGGCCCTCAAAGTGAAGTTTATCGGCGAGGAAGGCATCGACCAAGGAGGAGTAACAAAGGAATTCTTTCAACTTCTCGTTGATGAGGTCTGCAAATCTGCAAACCTTGAATAGGTCGCCTGCTGCTGGCGTTCGTGTTTCTGCTGGTGCTGCTGTTCTTAGTTCTGTTGGCGGTGCAAGTGCTGCTGTTGATTGTGCTGCTGATGGCGCTGCTCTGGTGGTTGTGGTGGCGGTGCTGCTGCTTGGGATGTTGTTCGTGCTTTTGTTTGCGCTTCTGCTTGTGCTGCTGCTCGTGCTGTTACTTGGCTACTGCTTGTACTTCAATTGACGCTGCTGTTGCTGTTGTTATTGGTGTTCCGAGTGCTAGTGGTGTGGTGGTGGAACGTTTGCTCCCCAACGCTACCTTTTCCGCATGTACATGTGCCTGCATCTCAGCATCAACAAACAACAGCAGCACCCCGAACAGAAGGAGTAGCACCGTGTGTGTGTGTGTGGTTGCGCTTCGGTGTGCATGCAGTTGTTTAACCCAGCGTACGGGATGTTTACAGTGGATGAAGAAAGCCGCTTTTGTTGGTTTTGCTCGAATTCACTCTCTGGTGTTCTACCTTTCGAATTGATTGGCATTATCTGCGGCCTTGCAATTCATAATGCCGTTCTGATGCCTGTAAATTTTCCTCTATTGCTGTTTAAGAAACTCCTGGGGTGGCCTGTACATACACTGCAAGACCTCTTTAGCCTTCATCCCCAAGTCGCAAGGTAACCGGGCAATGGCGTTCACTTGCTTTGTTTGTTTCTCGAACTTTGGGGGTTGGCTGGTTCCTAACGTTGAATCTCGTTTGCTGTTTTGCTCGTTTGTTCACTTGTCTTTCTGTTTTTTTGCTTCCCTGTCCTTGGCATGTTGCCGCTTCTTATAGTATTTTCCTTTTATCTTTGTTTGTTTGTCTCATCTTCGGATACTACTACTTACCCACACACAGTGTGTTGTATGCCTACGTATAGCAAATGCATATCTACAAATACGTGTGTTAATATATGCATGTTAATGTTTGTATACACATTTATTGTGGAAATGCACGCATTTATATATATATATATATATATATATATATATATATATATAACAAGCATTCACAGATATCTTTGCGTCGGCTAATACCATGTACATGTGGGTATGTGTAAGGATGTCGTCTTCTACGTTTATGGAAGGTTGGAAATGAACATACACCATTGCGTGCATGGAGTATACTTTGCTGTTGGTGCTGCTGCCATTACTGCTGCTGCCGTTAGTGTTGCCCGCAGTGCTACATTTGTCTGCCTGCTACTTTTTCGGTTGCTTCTAATGATTTTGTTGCTGCTGTTGCTGTTGCTGTTGCTGCTGATGCAGGAGTTTGGCGTATGTGTTGGGGGCTTCAGCTGAGGAACTGCAAGAAATGGCATTAACCTTTTCTTACACTTCGAATTTCTTCGGAGAGTGTGCCGAGGTGCCCCTGGGGTCGCACGATCCTAGCGAAGCGGTCAACGTACGCAACAGGTAATGCTGCCGTCGCTGCTGCTTCTGTTGTTGTTAGTGCTGCAGCCGCTGCTGCTGCTGTTGCTGCTGTTGCAGGAAAGGCTGCTGTTGCTGGAAAGCTTGCATCACTGTTCATGTTGCAGTTCATGCTGGAGCTGTTGATGGTGCTGCTGCTTTTAATGTTGCTGCTCGTGATGCAGCTGCAGATACTGTTGTCCAGGGTTAATGCTGCTATGGCAGTCAGCCGCTGCTGCTGTTGCTGCTGCTGCTCGTTTTTGAAGGTGCTGCTGATGCGTTACTGCAGCGCAGCAGACGTTTTCTCACTAAGTGTGCCGTTTGTTCGTAAACTACATATAACTAATTGGTATGGTATCAATAAATGTTACATGTGGCTTATGGCGTGATGTTTTTTATATGTATTGGATGGCCCTTTGGCGTTTGCTTGATGCGTTATCACTTGGCTGCAGAAAAGAATACGTTGAGATGTATATACATCACGTACTCACTGCCGCTCCGGGTCCACAATACGAAGCGTTTAAAAAAAGGGTTCTTCCGCTGCCTCGACAGCAACACCCTCTCTCTGCTGCTGCCGCAGGAGCTCCAGCTGCTGCTGCTAGGATCCCAGGAGGAGATAAGCATTGCAGTGTTGCAAAGAGTAATACCCTAGACCCTGTGCCCCACCACACTAGACTGTAAAGCCTATCCCTCACGCCCTAAGCCCTAAGCCCCACCCCCACAAGGCCTAAACCCTAAACCTTAAATGCCGAATTCCACACCCTGGGCTCAATGGCCTAAGCACTAAACTATAAACCCTTAATTCTAAGCTTCGAGCCCATCAACCCAAATTCGTACTTTTCAAGCCCTTAACAGTAAACGATAAACAACGACGCTCAGCTGCATGCCCTAAGCATTAAACCCTAAACCATTAACAATGAGTTTGCTTCGTTTGTACTGTGGGCTCTTCGGGAAGTTGTAGGCGTCTGGGAATTCTGTTCTCACTTTCTATGCGTTCGATTCGCTTTTGTTTTGCCAATTTACTCTATATATTATTTCACATTTCTGCTTATTTGCTTTTATGCTCGTTCAATTGGCTACAACGCGAGTCAACGCATTCGATGTTCAATTCATCTACAGCAATCCCTACTTAGATGTAGAAGATATTTGCTTTATTTTATCTAAAATCATTCCCATTCTATATATGTAAATATATATATATGTAATTTCTATTCATTCATACATATATATCCACATTACATGCATTTACACGCATGTATGTATTATATATATATATATATATATATAT